CGTCTACGGGGTGAGGTGGAGTGGGAGAATAAGATTTTTTTAGTACTCTCCCTAATCATTCTAGATTTGTTTGAGTTATTTTGTCTAAAGGCATTTTCTTTAATATGGACCAAATTTGATGATTCGCAGAAATATTACATTGACCTGTAGTTATAATCGATGTTGGTATAATTGTCAGTTTCTTTTGATACGCTGCACTGGCTTGTTAGAAGAGCAAAGAAAATTTTTATATATTTTCAGTTGACTTTGTATACCAGAAGTTAGAAAATTTATTCTATAAATTAACATTATTATATTTTACGCGCATTTTGAAATATTTGGGTTTATGAGCGTTTCAAGGCAAGAATCTTATATAATTTATTATACATATCCTCCTCCTAGGTGGCTTCTCTGTTGAGGTTGGCGATTAATATGACATATGACTCTCTGTCTAGAGCTTGGTGAATAAGGGTGTTTCCGTCGGTGTGGGTCCAATCTCTTATGTTACGTAGCCATGATTTATTTTTCTTCTCTATCCTACATTTTCCATCGATTTTTCCTTCTATTATGAGCTGTATTTTTTCATATTCTGAGTGCCATTATATGTCCAAGGTGGAAGTGTTTTTGATTTTAATTGTGCCTATTAGGTATGCACGAGTTTTCATTCTGTTTAAAACTTCACAGTTTGTTGTTCTGGAGGTCCAACTTATCCTCAGCATCCGACGATACATCCACATTCCAAACGCATTAAGGCGTTTGATGTCTTTTTGTTTTAGCGTCCATGTTTCGCATCCATATTGAATTAGGGAACATATATAACATTTTAATGTTCTTAGCCTCGTTGATATAGCTATTCTCGGATGGCATAAAAACTTCCGCATGTTGAGAAAACCAGCCCTAGCTATTTCAATCCTTCTTCTGATTTCCGTAGAGTGGTCCAGCTGGCTGTTTAATTCCCTGCTCAAGTAAATATATCTCTGCGTGGTTTCAAAATGCATGCCGTTTACCATTATGTCGGTGTTTTCATTGTCTTGCGGATGTCTGCCGAAAATCATAGTTTTTGTTTTTGTTTGCTTTTTGTTTGTGTCGGTGTTAATCTCTAGACTCATCCTAATACTTTCTTCTGTAAGTTTGTCCATTAGGGTTTGCAGCTGGTCTTCGGATTCTGCTAATACTACGATGTCGTCTGCGTATCTTATATTGTTTATAATTTTTCCATTTATTTTAGCCCCTTCTGGACAATTTTGAAGATATTTTCTAATTATATATTTGGCATAAACCTTAAACAATAATGGTGACAATATGCATCCCTGTCTAACACCTCTTCTAGATACATATACTACAAGATTTTTTTTTTCCTTTTTATGTTTTGGCTGCCCTGAAAAAAATGTTTCTACTATCGATAGTTGCGCCTTGGTGGTACGAAAATACTACCATTGCACGCAGGCCACTATCTTGCCGTGCGGGACTTATATATTACCGATACATTACAAGTCGGATTTAGATATTCTGTGCTATGTTTGTCATTTTGTAGAATCAACCCAAACTCACCTGATGATTGAGTAGGGCTCCGAAACCGGTAACGAGAGCAGGTTGTTCCCCATTCTGACGAACACAGTGTCGAATTAAATTTCTATATTAGCAGTTCAAGGCAAGAATCTTATATAATTTATATTTAATATTTTATTTGCGTGCAAATTAGTTATAATCATCTAAAATAAATATTAGCATATTCGTAATCGAATTTAAAGTTAAAATTTGTGTAGCAGTATTCTTATCATTGAGTAGGTATACCGTGTGTAAAAATTTAGACGATCAAATGTATTTTTCCAAGGCTCCTTGATTAAAAAATAGAGTTTTTAACACAGCCATGGCACTCTAGATTGAAAATTAAAATTATTTTTTTAATTGAAACTGTCGAAAATTGACTAAACTATGTCATTCTATTTAGAATCATTTTCTATCGAATAAAATTAACTGACCGAAACCAATTGAATAAGTCAATTAATCCTACTTTTTATAGTTAACTCATTGTTGGTATTTGGTCTAATTTTAATAATACGATTCAAATAGAATCATAACTTAACCTTTAATAGTTTTCCAACTTTTCGATCACATTTTGATCTGAACATTGAACGAAAATTAACTTAAAATTTTGATGTACTTTTAAGTTTTATATATTTTGTTCTAGTGGACCGATTTTCCTGATTTTTAAGCAATTTGTAGCTCAATTATTTGACTTTTTAGAATTGCTTTCTAAATTAAAAATACGAAGGAAAACAAAATGTTGATATTTTGATGAAAGTTTGAAATACCCTGTAGGATATGTCAACACAGCAAGGAATTCTATCGTCTAGGTACGTCTTTTATCGATAGTTTACTTGTTTATTCATCTAAATAGCTTTATTTTTGTTGGATATATTCAGTTTTAAATAAGACAGTAACAATTTACAGCAATTTTAGCATTGATTTTGGGTCCTCATTAACACACTTATAAAATAGTTTATTGTTTTTGTAATATCACTGCCATTTAAAAGTTTTATTATTATTATTTATTGACGTTTATTCTAGTTTATTGACGTTTACTCTAGATGGTTTTAAGTTTTGATATTATATCGGCTATTGTTGCTTTAATTATTGATCATGGTAGAGATCAACTTTTGCACTTAAAACCATATCTGCCAGAGTTGGCTAGAGTAACTGCCCAACAGACAATAATATTATGATTTTTCAAAGACAGTTACATTAGGACCAAAAGCAAAGTCATGATTTTAATGTAACAAATACGAAAAAATATTAGCGTCTTCTTCAAAAGCGAATATCTCAAAAATATATAAAGCTATTTAGATGAATCAAAAAACAAACTATAGAGAAAATATACATCTTAACGATAAAATGATTTTTAAATTCCTTGCTTTGTTGATGTACTCCGCAGGGTGTTTAAAACTTTCACCAAAATATCAACATTCTGTTTTCCCTCGTATAATTGACAGATGGCAACTCTAGTTTTTAATTTAAAAAGAGATACTAAGAAGTCAAATAATTTAGTTACAAATTTCTCAAAAAGTCATCAAAATCGGTCAACACAATATATACCTAAAACTTTAAAATACATGAAAATTTTAAGGTGTCGATTTTCGTACTGTCATTATACATTATAACACATTAATCCTAATTATACATTTAACCACATTAATCCTAATTTATCATATTACCCTAACATAACAAATGTAGTTTATTTATCTGAAAAAAATAAAAAAAGAGTTATAGAGGTGAGCCACTTTTGAGAAACACCCTCTATGATACATTATTCAAATAACAGTCTTTTGTGTATATTTAGTATACTCGTACAATCTTATTTAAATCATTTTTTTCGCATTCGTTCTTTATACACACATGGCCAAAATTATTTTATTTTGGACCTAACATAATTATTTTTATATTTTTGTACATATTGGCTTACTACACGACTAACTAATATAAAATAAAAATCTAAGTGCAACTAGGCTGTTATTATAATTTTATTTCATAATGAGTGAAACTCAACAAAAACAAATTTCATTTTAAACAGAAAATATTGAAAACAATTTTAATTATTTCTCACAACTAATTTTCTGTATTGCCTCCTCGAGCCTCAATGCAAGCTGTGAGACGACGTGGCATGCTGTCAATTGAGTTGTCCAGAAGATGTTGAGGAATGGCTTCCCATGTTTCGCGCGCAGCAATTTTCAGTTCATTTAAGGTACGGGGGAGATCATTCCTTTTGGCAATATGGCGTTTTAGCATCTCCCAAGCATGCTCAATCACATTCATATCTGGAGACATTCGGTGGCCACCACAGTTTTCTTATACCCTCTTCCTCACAAAATTCGCGAACCGCTAAAGTGCGATGAGGAGAAGCATTATCGTCCATGTAAACAAATTCATTCCCCACTGCCCCTCGAAATGGACGCACAATAGGCTCTAAAACGTCTCTAAGCTATGAGGCACCTGTCATTGTGCAATTAATAAAAACAAGAAGAGTTTCATCTCCGTGTATCATACCTGCCCATGCCATAATTCTTCCCCCTGCAAACAGGACACAGGGTTGAGCTGCACTCAAGCGTGCTCTTCTTCCAGATGCTCTCCAGACCAAAGTTGGTCGCGAGCTTGACACTAGGCCTATTCTTGTTTCATCACTAAACATGACGAAATTCCAATTAGGTCCATTTGCTCTCATCTCCTCAGCCCATTGTAGTCGCGTAATTTTGTGTTCTAAATTAAGCTTCGGAACACGTCGAGGCCTCCTTAAATGTAATCCTCTGTCATTGAGTCTTCTTGCTATGATCTTTCTTGAAACATTTACTCCTTCAAGGCGAGCTAACTTATTTTTAATAGCAGTACTAGAAAGCAGGGAATTCCGTCGTGCAATTAGGGATATTTGACGGTCTTGCACAGCAGAGGTAACTCTTTTTCTGTCTCTTCCAGGCCGGTCTGTTACCTCGTTTGTCTCCCTGATTTTTTTTAATATTCGAGAAACATCGCTTTGGTTAACTTCTACAATTTCAGCTATTGCAACTTGCCGCTAGCCCTGTTGAGACAGTGTTACTATTCTGACTCTATTAAACTGTGAAATGATGTTTCTAGGCATTTTAAGGCCAAACAGTGGGCAAATTTCTTCTGAAACCCAAGAGACCACAAATCGCAATATGCAAGAATTTGTAATAATATTGGGTCTGAACGATAAACATTGTTTACCATATCCATTTTTACAAAAAAAATGTTTCTTACAGATTATCAAAGCCATGTATAAAAAAATATTCTTTAAATTCCTTTCCGTATATTTCTAAATGATATATGCCATAATTTTGGCCATGTGTGTATATAATTTGTTGAATAGAATTAGCAATAAATCTAATATAATTTTTCTAAAGGCACCACTAAAGAAAAAAATAAACAGAAAACATTTATCAACTCTTTCACGAGTTTTCCGTTTATATCTAATAACCATCTAGCTTATCAGTCCCTTCCTGTTTTTTTAGTAAGCAAGGAACAGCCGTTCAAAGACAAATGTTTCCTGTACCGGTTCTGGCAGGACGAGGAGGGATCGACGGTGCTGCCGCCGCCGGAAGACGTGGCAACGGCGGAAGACCAGCTGCTCGACAATCTCGGCACGTTGATTAATAGGGGACCTGATGCGCACTTGCGAATGATACTTAGGAAACAGTAAGTAGAAGTTAATTGTCTCATTGTCTGGCTCTTGATTTTTATATATAGTGTTGAACTAGTTAAATGAGTATTATAAGTATTTCTCTTATTAATAATTACTTTTAATTTAGAATATGTTCCAGATCATGGCCCGTATTCTGTAACTTTGACATAAAAACGTTACGCTTTCAAAGCGGTGAGCGCAAGTATTCGATCAGCGAAACGCAAGACAGTCGATTTTGGTATTCTCGTTGCCATGCGAATCGTGTTCTGGATACGCGTTGAGCACATATTGGCAACATCATAATTTCTAATGCAGTTAATAGTCAAAAATTGATAACTGACGGATGTAACAATGAAAAATGTCAATGTTACGTGCATTTCATAACCTATTGTTGAGTTATGTCAAGCTATTTTTCTATGGATATGTCATTATTCTTATTATACGAGGGAAGTATTGAAGACGCTTCTCAGCATTTTAGAGATTTTGAACAATATTTATAGCTGCCAAGTCGTAAATTATCAATTACTTATTGAGGAATTTATAGAAGAAGTAGTAATTTTCACTAAAGAGCACAAAATCACATTTTTTTCGATTTTCGCTGACAGTTCGACAAGCAAAACGATCCTTTAAGGCAACCGTTTTCGAAGCGCTCAGCGCAATCAGTAAAAACAAAAAAAATCGTTAATTAAGTGCGCGCTCAGCGAAAATTAACGTCATATACGCTGAGCGTCTAAAAGCGCTGAGCGTCTAAAAGCGCTGAGCGTCTAAAAGCGCTGAGCGTTTTCAAAGTTACAGAATACGGACCCAGATATCTTTACTTAATATCTATTTAGTGAATATTAGTAAGTTTTTAAAAATCCAGCAGTGCATCTATTGTCTACCAGTTCTTTTCTTACAGTATCATGTTGGTATAAAAAGTAGGCGACCTCTCATTCATCTTTGATGTTAGTCATCAGATTCTGACAAGTAGGTACACGAGAGCTAGGTCCTTTTTTGTGAACTGCAAACATCGGAAAACCCATTTCAACTGCAAAATCTGTCAAAAAATTATTTGTTTAGAACATTTTGCCATCGTTTGTCATATTTGTGCTAAGAACATTTAGTGTGTTATAAGTGCTATAAGGTGTACACAATGTTTTTGGTAAATAAATAACTTTTTGTTCGTGTATGTCTTTAATTTGGTAAACCATAAAATTAAGGTTACACTATAATAAATAGATTAAAAATGACTTATTTTAACTAACCCTTAAACGAATTTTGCATAAAACATTTGTTTTATATTATTGTGCTGTTTTATTTATTGGGTCTAAGAGACCCACCCCGTTCGGTCAAGGTAGATAATCCTACCCGTGCAATGTAGGGCTATGTATAGCAAACTTAATCTGGGAAAGGCTGTCACAAATGTGCCATTTTTCAATCTTACCCTATACAGGGTGAGTCTTAAATAAGTGCAAATATTTTCAGGGGTAGTATATTTCAACCCCAGGAACACGTCTATGAGTTTTTTTCGCAAAAAAAGATCTTGAAAATCATGCATTTTCTTTTAAATTTCCCTGTATAATTTTCGAAAACTTTTTAGAACTGCCTGTTCACCGCAAATTTTCCCACTATATAATTTCTTGATCTCTGATATTACCATAGTTACAGCTTTACTCTATGGTTACTAAAAGCGAGAGTAAAAGGGATGCAAATACAGAAAAAATCCGGCGCCTCTCAAAATTTAAAAAAAATCCCTTTTTTTTAATTTTCAAACTTAAATAACTCGGTTAGTTTGGACTAATCTGAAAAATGGTAAAGAGGAAATATGTTTCCTTTAACGAAATCTACCAGCCCTGAAAATATTTGCACTTATTTAAGACTCACCCTGTATATCAGAAACATAGAATGCTATGAAAATTTTTGTTTGACATTATTAAGCATATGTGACAACCTCGCCGTGCAACTAAATGGTTATCGTTGAGCCACGACTATCGAATGCTTTTAATAAATGAAATTTAGTATTCGTTTGATTTTTGTGTACGTCAGTGCATTATTAGTTCTTCCAAATTTTTTTAACTTCACCTTATAAATACTGTGCTATTTTTGCGTTTATTAAAATATTTAAAATACTAAAGTAGTAGTTTTTTTTAATTGACGATTGTGTGCGTGTGCAGGTGTCAAAATTTTTCCGAAAATTTGTGTGATTTTCCTTAGCCCGATCTTTCAATTATTTTATTTTATATGGTATATATGGTCTATTTTTTAATGGGAAATTTTGAGAAGTAGCAATTTTTAAGAGAGATGAGATGAACTTAGAATTAATTTTAAAAATACATATTTGTATTTTAGATGTTTTAATAATATGAATTAGTTGAACTTAATAATCATATTTAAGTAATGTGGTTAAGTAAATGGGGGGTTATCGAACTCAAACTATGGGGTGTGAAAATTAAATTGAAAGTTTTACACGTGCCAATTTAAAAAAAAAATTAACGATGTTTGTATTTTGTTTATGCTAATTCTCTTACATGTAGTTTTTTGCGAAGAAATATTTCATTTATTTTTTAAAGTAAATGCCAGTAAAAATAAATATTATTTTTAAATAGTAATATAAAGTACCTAATATAAATAATTTTGATTTCAAATTTTTATTTATATTTTCCTTCCATTACACTGCATGCTTAGAAAATTAATAAATGTTTATATTTCATGATTTTAAAGTTTGTTGTTAATATAACAAATTAGTTTTGTAATTATTCTTATTTAATAAACCAACGTTGCCAAAAAATTTAAAGACTATTATTTTTAAATAGGATCTAATATAAATAATTTTGACATCTAATTTGTTGTTTATATTTTGCTACTACGTAAAAAAATGTTTATATTAAATTATTTTAAATTTTGTTGTTAATAGGTATAACAAATTATTACTGTTAACAAATTATTACTATTATTTTTATTAAACCAGTCTTTGCTTAAAAACATTAAAAATCATTTTCCTACATCCAAAATAACAAGTATTAACAGTGTAACAACAGAATATTAATAAAAAAAATGCAAAATATATAGACATATTATCCCTAACTAACTAAAGCCAAACAATAATATTCTTTGCTAATATCAACTAATACCAATATATGTCAACAGCGCCCTTCATAATGCATTTTCTGTGTAAATACTAGCACCTCAATAAAAAAAATAATGTGTCCTTATCTTTATATGACTCCGCAAAAAATCAAAGATGCCGGCTTCTTTCATAGCATTGCCACCGACCGCTGTCGGGTTTCTCGGAAAGAAACCTACGTCGCCGGGCGACAACTAAAATCCAGTTAATATTTTATTATAATCGATCCTGACGAATAAATGAATTTCATAAATGAATGAATTTTATAAACGAATGGTTTTTGCTGCCGAATTACTAGAATACAATATTTCAAGGCAGATGACGCATCTATTCGATAATTTTTATTCGAATAGTTTTCAGCGAATGTTGTTTTTACTAGCTATCGAATTATTTGAATGAATTGCAACTATCGAATGTTTCGATAGTATTCGTTCGATAGTTCCCACTACTAGATGTAACTACAAAAAAAATCGATAGGTCAATTTTTTTTAAATAAATCAATTAAAAAAATTGGATTGATTTGTTTTCATGCAATTTCTACTTCAAAATGTTAAATCCTGTTGAAAATGATTCCACAAAAGAAAAGGGCATGTTTGATTCATTTTGCTAAAATGTATTATTTGATGATTTGAAAACGTGTGTAATTATAAAAAGTGTAATTAGTAACATGAAAAAATTTACCACGTTGTTGTGTAAACAAAAGAGAATTAATTAGCTGATGATTTCGAAAATAAAAAAAAATCTTTTTTGACTTCTTTTTAATTAAAAATGTTTTTGAGGTGAAAAAATGAATTATTCGGCATTAAAGAGACTTTAGTCATATATAGATACAAAAAATGCTGTTAATCCTCAGTATTGGAAATCTCATTATCTTCATATAAGATTAACGAAGAAATTCAACAATTTTATTCATCACTAGTTTCATCCAGAAATATTCAAAATATTATTATGAGAATGATTATTCCAATCCAGAAAGATTTCTTATAGACAATATTAATTTTAATCCGCATCGATTAGTTTATTGGTATAGAACATCTAGCTCAAGAAATATGTTCTTCTGTAAACTTAATACGAAAAATCTGGTCTAGTATAGTTGTAACATCTTGTTAAAGTTAGAAATTTAAGAGTCTGTTACGCTGTACGGTTTGGATCGCTCTCAGGGGTCGGATAAAGCGGGTGTGCGGCCGAAGAAATATATATTATATTTCAGAAAGCTTAGCACGATAAACTAAATAATAAACCACTAAAATTCCAAACACACGTACTTTGATTAAGGCTTATAGAGCTCTAGCATTTGCCATAAAATAGCTAGCAATTTGTTACAATACCATATAAAGTATACACTCACCTGCAAAAAAAACGGGCCACTAAAAACTAGTCCCAATTTCAAAGCTGGATTTCTCGCGAACGACGTTATCTCTGTTTGTATTGGAGATACGCTACTTTAAAACAAACGCCTTGAAAAAAAACTTTAAAAACAAATCAAACCTCAAAAGTTTAACCTGTAAACTAACTAAAACATGAAAATTAAAAAAAAAGGTAAGGAAATTTGTGGCTGCAACGACCTCCCGTAATCCTGCTGTTAAAACAAAACAATTGATTTTTATATTTAAAAACCAGCTGTTATGATTTAACAGCAGGATTACGGGACGTCGCACAGTGCTTCGAACATATGGCTCTAGAGGACAAAAATCCAAAACTTCTCTTTTATTGGAAGCAATTTATTCAAACTAGGTTTATTTGACACATATGATGAGTACTCTCATTGTACAAAATGATGATGTTCTTAGTCCCAGGTTTATGAAAAAAAAATCTTATAAATAATAAAAATATTGGAGCTGTGTTCCATCTAAGCAAATAATAATTTATAGTATGAAAACGGTGTAAGTATTAAATAAATTCCTGTGATAA